ACAATTTACATACACAATTTAACAAATTTAATACGGGATTTATGTTAAGGAAACCAAACATCTTACTACAACTTAGGTATATAATTTGTGTACCGCCAGTTCCGACTTAATAACACATGTTTTAATTATTTAAAAAAATAATCTTCGGTTGTGATTGATTGACCATCTAAACATCACTAGCCAACTGTAAATTTTCGATGAAAAATAGATAGTAAATTCGATTGTTTAGGAGTACGTAGAAAATGATCAATTCTATGCTATATCGAGTGAAATACATCGGGTAGATCTTTACCATTCATGTATACACAAACACACACACATCCACATTGGTATGTGTAGATCAACGGTAAAAAATCATCAGGTGCAGTCTTCACCGGGTGTAGCATACAAATAATCGTAGAAAACCTTCCAATCAACAAGTCCACATAAAAAAATGTGTCAAGTCCAAACTCACAACGTAATAGACGAAAATTCCAACAAATGCTCATAACGTAATAGGCGAAAATTTTAATCTTCTTAATGCCTGAAACCCTATCCTGAGTCTCGAAGCTCAAGCACGGCTCCATACTAATCATATGAAATTATACAGAACCGCCTAAAACCGACGTACAATTAACCGCTGATTAAACATACTAGTAAATCAACGGCTATTCGAAGAAACATGTAAGGCACTACAAGAAAATGCAAAATAGGCAACGATTTCTTTATCGACGAAATTAATTTTGTTGCCAATAGTTATATTTTAGCAACGAAATATAGTATTTGTGGCTAAAGATTAACGTTTTTGTAACAAAATGTTTTTGTTGCCTTTGAATCTCGTAGGCAACGAAATATATTGTTGCGAATAGTATCATATATATTTCGCAACAAATTTCATGAAAGACAACAACTTTGTTTGTTGCAAACAAGTATTTCTTTTTGTTACGATATAAAATTGTAGTAAATACATTAACAACAACAACAAATTTATTTTGTCACCAATAAGTGACGAAAGACGACAATTTTTTTTGTTGGAAATGCTCCACGAGATTTGGCAACAAAATATAATCGTTGCCAATTTAAAAACCAACTTATTTTTCTTGATTTTAATTTACAGTAATGTTATTAAAATCGATATATATATATATATATATATATATATATATTTCGTTATGACTCAATATTATTTATTTATATAATTTAATTTGACATTATTTATATAATTTTTTTAATCATTTTACCTTGTCTATTTAGTTTTTATAAATTTATTTGAAGTCTATTTTCACAAATGTGCTGTTGCCCAAGCGGTTGGAGGGTTCTCTAATCTAAAATCAACCAGGGTTCAAATCCTTCTGTTGTCATGGTGCCATATATTTGACATTTATCAAATTGGTTCCGTTGGACCAGCCTCGAGTTCGGCCTAGCAAACTAATTACTAATTCCGAATAGGTTGGTCGTCCAAAGGTCAAAGGCCGGGGTGGTCCGAGAGTCGGGTCCACGGATGTGGGTCGAGTCGGACGGACCAGGGTTCAAATCCTTCTGTTGTCATGGTGCCATATATTTGACATTTATCAAATTGGTCCCGTTGGACCAGCCCCGAGTTCGACCCAGCAAACTAATTACTAATTCCGAATAGGTTGGTCGTCCAAAGGTCAAAGGCCGGCGGGGTGGTCCGAGAGTCGGGTCAACGGATGTGGGTCGGGCTCCAATACAAAAGCGAACCATTAATTTACATATCTCTTTTGCAACGAAATAAATTCGTTGTGCATACATATATTTTTGCATGAAATAAAACCGTTGGGTGACGAAATAGATTCGTCGGCTATAATAGTGTACGCACAACGAATTTTGATTTTCGTTGCCATGAACTTTTAGTAACGAGACGAAATAGATTCGTTGGCTATAATAGTATATGCACAACGAATTTTGATTTTCGTTGCCATGAACTTTTAGTAACGAGGCTTTGACAACGAACATGGCAACAACAAAAAATTGTTGCGAATTTTATTGCCAACGAAATTTTACCCTTTCAACAACAAAATATTTCTTTGAAATATAAAATTTCTTGTAGTGAGGGTCGGGTCTGGATATTCCAACCCACGAAGTGGCGGGTTGTGACGGCCAGAACCACAACCACGTCATCTTCCAATACAATACCTCAAATTAAATATATTAATATATGATATTCTTTTTCTTTTTTTGGTTTCTTGTAAATATCTAATTATAACATACATGCATGGGTGCATGTCACACTTGGGGTGGGTTGTTGAAAGTGAAATAGTTTTGTAGAGAGATTAAATCTCACCCGTCAGTCAAACAAATTAAAGCCTCTCCTTTTTATTATTTTTTTACGTACGTGTGTGTGTGTGTGTGTGTGTGTGTGAGAGAGAGAGAGAGTAATCACATTCATTCATTGTTTCACACGAGCCAAACGTCATTTATTTAATTTAAATATTTAAATATTTAAAATTAAATTAAATGTTTTCTCAAAGTCTATAAAATCAAGCCAATTAATCCAATAGGAAGACAAGCCCTTCTTGTGGAGTTGAGTTCATCTTCTTGACTCCATCAAACCCCTGCTTCAATATCTTTATATTAATTCCTCCCTCAAAATCTTTTTTTTTTTCTTTTTTTTTTTAATATACATATGATCTTCCTCATCAATTTATATATGTTCCAAAAAAAAAACCCGGAAAAAAACAGTTCATTTTGCGTTATTTATCGACTAATTTTGCTTAATTAAATTCGGAGATCGATCGGGGAAGAAATCGAATCGGTGAGTGGTTTCCATGCTAGGCTCGTCAAGTGAGCAGTCTTGGTTGATTTCACTTTTGTTTCGTTGTCTGTTCGACCTTAAACTTGTCCGAAACCCTAGCTTAACTTTACTTTGTTCTTCCTCTTATTTCATAATTTTTCTTTTGTCAGAAAAATTATATTAATTGAATTAATTAATTATAGCTTAACTGTATGTAGGTGATAACTAATTAGTTTTCCCCCCCTGTGTTTCAGTATAATTACTTACAGACCCCACCCATATATATATGTATCAAAGTAATT